GTGTATTTTTATGCTAGTTGAAGTAGCTTTTAAAAAGTCTTTTCTTTTTCAGTTTATGAAGAATGAAACACAGAACTTCTATAGCAATGGATGTGTTATAGAAGTATAGATTATAGAAATGCAATTACTGTAGGTTCAGAGCAGGCGTGATAAAGGAGAAAATTTGAGCCTGACCTACCCTTTAGTGTGGATTGACCTTTGCCCTTGGCTGTGAATGTAATTGTCCAATGTTAGGCCTAAAAGTTGGTTATGGGCCCTTCTGAAAGTGTCTAAATACTGCATGCCAAACGGGCAGATGGGAATGGGAGTGTGAGCTCCAAGTACCCTTAAAAGATGAGACACAGCGAACTACAGTAAGTGACACAGGCACGTGGAGCTCAGGGAACACCACCCCACTTTTAATAAATAGTCAAAGAGTAATGGAAGTATTTGGACTTTTCTAGAAAAAAACCAATGTATTTATACAGTACTCAAAGTCAGAAGTGGGCTAACTGAAATAGCTATGACAAGTGAAAAATACCATCGCATACCATCTTATAACACTGTAAACCTGGTGTGCCATACTCGGTTTAGAAGGAATACGCTTCCAAAAACAGACAAGTGATTTCAGGTGTCCATCCAACTGAAATATTCCTTTTAAAACATGTCTGGTTCTTGCCTTGCGTATCCTCTGCCTTCTGAGCTGTGAGCTCTGCAGCTCGAAATCCGGGCAGCTGGTTTCCACTTCCTGCTGCTTGGACAAACACGGGCTCTGGTGGATGAGTCCATGGACAACTGACAGATTGGTCTACCCAACTGTTGTTTCTTGAAAACATTGCAAAGTCTCCAGATGTTTACGTCTCGGGTGCAAGAACCAGATGTTTAGGAATACTAATTGTTTTATAAACTGAAAAAGCTGTAGATGCCTTGCCAAACAGTTCAGTTCTTTGTTTATGAGCGATGAGTCAGAGAACAGTAAGATAAATACACAAAAACATAGAAGTAGAAAACAGTTTCCTTTGGGAGTAAATAATGGATCTAGAGCCAGCTCAGAGAACCAATGTATGGCCTGAATGGCAGGGCTGCAGTCTGCGAACCTCTGCAAGGAGGAGAGCAAAGGGTCTGCCCTGGAGGCTCCTCAGCAGCAGCATTGCTGCTCCGCACCTACTACTCATGCTTCCAGGTTGCAGCTGACTTGTGTGGTCGACGTGCTTTCATACACCAGGGAGTAAGTGCTCTAACAAGCACTTAACTCAGGACCTGCAAATCCCAGCTGTCTCACGTAGCTGTGGAAGAACCCTTGAAACTCCCCCCCTACGGGCAAAGGATTTGGGCTTTAAAGGTGGTGAAGGTGTTTAACACCTGGAGGAGCCAGGAATAGTTCCTAGCTCCCTTTGTAAGAGAAAGGTGCTGCGCTCCAGTGTTGCAGTGGGAGGAGAGCTGGGTGTCTAATGCTCTGCTGCCCTCTATTTTCTGTGTAAAGGAAAAGCAGCTGCATGGGTTCCATGGGATCTGTTGTGCGTATGATCCTGTGGACAAGCAGAGACTCGGGAACCTGCGGCACTTCAGCATGCGTCTTGAAATCACCCCACCTGCAGCCTTAGGGGATGGAGGCAGGCTAAGGCACAAGGCCTTGCCCTTCTGAGCTGAACGTTAGCAGGCTTGTACAGCTGTGTAAGGTAACCAACGGGGGGTTTCTGGTGTTTTGATAGGTCTGAATAAATGATGGGATCTTCATAATCCAGATGACTAAATTCTCGGCGAGGGGAAAGACCTTCAGCAATGTTTATAACGCTAGCAAAATTGGCTGAATAACAGTGAGCTTTCTTAAAAAACAGGACTGCTTTTGCTGTCCTTGCCACTTAGAGTCGAAATGGGTTCATTGGAGGAGAATATTGGAAGCGCAAGGCTTCTTGATACCGAATGGGCATAAATAGGCTTGCAAGTGGTATCTGAAGGCTGTTCTGATCAAAATCCTGTTTATGGGCCAACACAGAGGATTTATATACCTATAAAGCCAAGAACTGAGTTTAAGTGAAATTGTAACAGTTGATTCCAAGAATCATTATTTGTCTAGATCTATTTATTGCAGGAAAAGAAAGAATTCTTCTATGCATAAAAAGTTTCCATAATAATAATACAGTTACAATAGTTACATATTTTTTAGTTCCTACCCCTTTTCCTTGTGTTTTGCTTACCCTTTCTCTGCTCCTCTGGGTGTCAAGGTTTCATTCTGGTGCTTGGTGGGGTGTTAGGGGTATTACCAGTGTCTGGAGTTCTGCTGGGAGGAACATGATGTTCATGTTGATTTTTTCTTCTTCACTCTCGGATCCACTTTGGATCATTTTCGTATGTTTGCTAACAGACTTTTAGACTTGCTTTCTCTTCATTTCTCCACAGGTTCTTGTTACATCCAAACTGGGTATCTGTGGTGCATTTTATGCATATTAGATACAATATCTTTGTTCTCTTTGTCACCCTTAAAACTAGTTTCATCCAGCTTCAGGTCTGTATTTCTGTAACTGACCATTGGTGAGTTGTTTATAGCCATGGAGTCTCCAGCGTCAAGCCATCTCTTGTCAGCCTGTGCATGTACTCTTCTACACTGTATCCTCTGTCTCCACATCTCAGAACCTCTGCTATCATTTTAGGACTGTATTTCTCTATACTATCATCATGTCTGACATAAATACTGCATTCAGTATAGAATATCCGGTTGTTACTGTTAGCATTGCTTTGCTCCAAGATAGGAGCATACTTATGAGGGTACTTCTCCCTGCTTTGACTTGTTAGCTAGTTCCAAAAGATTCTTTATTTTGCTGCTGAACAGTTCAACTGGAAAAAGGTCTTTAGCTGAAAAACCCATTCTTCTGAAATTGTCCCATTTCACCTGTTATAGAAAGGAGCCTTACCTACCTCCCTTGGCTTCCAAAGCACTAGGGCAATGAGTCAGATCATTCAGCAGAGCTGCGTCTGTGTGGGAGTCCATTAGGGATGGTGGAAATACTATGATTTTCAGCAGGTGGAGTTCTACTCCTACATCAGATTGAACCACCATCCTGTTTTCCTGAATACAGCTGTAAAGATTACCATGTACAATAGCTGGTTATTCCCTTAATTATAAAAATGTTTTTGATTAAAACCTAAACCTTCTCTCCCTTCTGAGGTGTGATGTCCACCTCCAGGCCTGAAGCAAAGGTCTTGAAAATGGAAATAAAAGCTAGATTGTATTTCATAGGTTCACCGAACGGTTTGGGTTGGAAGGGACCTCAAAGACCATCTAGTTCCAACCCCCCTGCCATGGGCAGGGACACCTTCCACTAGACCAGGTTGCTCA